TTTTGGAATTTCCACATAAGAAAGTTGTGAAGTAAAGGCTAAGAAATTAGGAGACAACTTTTCATAGGAAATATAGTTAGACATGGGGTGCCTAGTGTAGGAACGAATGCCCTTCCGGGCAGCAATAAGGACATCAAGATCATTACAAGACTCAGGATTAGATTGAACTTTTAGGACGAACTCAGTTTGATTGTTACCTAGAATTTCGGACTGTTTAGGTTCCTCCCTTGGTTCGGATTCATGGTTGTGTAAAGAGATATGACCTTTTTCCTTTGAAGATTTTCTCCTTGAATAGGTTAGTATGTTGGTACCTGTTTTGGTCCCATTCTTTTCACTAGTGAGATTTAATTTGGGTGATGGCACTAGGGATGTCCAGTCCGAAATATTTTCAGCCCTTGTTTCATGTACAACCTAGTCTTGGTCAGAAAATTCTGGTACAAATTCGGATTCTAAAGTCTGATTTTCCTCATCCGGATTTGTACCAGATTTTGTAACAGTGGTTTCTAAATTCAAGTTTGAATCCGGGTTTATTTGAAAAACATCAAGAGTTTCATCATCCTCATCTTCCCTTTTTCTCCCCTAGATTTATTTTCAAAAAATGTTACATCCGTGGTGATAAACATTTTTTTGGAAATAAGATCATAGCATTTATATCCTTTTTGAGTCGGGGCATATCCCACAAAGACACATTTTCTAGCCCTAGGATCAAGTTTCCCTCGATTATGCTCATGATTATGTGTAAAAACAATACATCCAAAGATTTTCATAGGAAGTGTAGAGGTAAGTTTGGATGTAGGGTAATTAGTTTCGAAAATATTTAATGGTGTTTGAAAACGTAGAACCCTAGAAGGCATCCGATTTATTAAATAAGTGGCTGTCAAAATGGCTTCTCCCCAAAGATACTTAGGGACATTACTTTTAAATAGTAAGGCCCTTGCAACTTCTAAAAGGTGTTGGTTTTTTCGTTCAGCTACACCATTCTGTTGAGGAGTATCATTACAAGAACTCTGATGAACAATACCTTTTTCCAAGAAAAAAGATCCTAAAATTTTATTGAAATATTCTTTCCCATTATCCGTTCGTAAAATTTGAATCTTTGTTTGAAATTGAGTTAAAACCATGGAGTAAAAATTTTTAAACACATTTTCAACTTCAGACTTATCTCTCAACAAATATACCCAGCTTACTCTAGTGTGATCATCTATGAACGTGACAAACCACCTTTTTCCCGAGGGTGTTAAAATCCTAGAAGGTCCCCAAACATCACTATGGACGAGCACAAAAGGTTTTAAGGGTTGATAGGGTTGTAAGGGAAAAGTAGAACGATGATGCTTAGCCAATTCACATACTTCACATTGAAACAAAGATGGATTTTTATTTCTAAACAAAACTGGAAATAATCTTTTTAAATAATAAAAATTCGGATGGCCTAGTCTATAGTGCCATAACATTATTTCTTCATCACTAGTAATAGAGACAGTTCCATAACATGTACTTTGTACTGGCCTTTTTGAACTTGGTCCATTTTCAAAGAAATAAAGTCATCCAATTTCTCTAGCACTGCCAATCATCCTCCCCGTGGTTAGTTCCTGAAACTCATAATAAGATTGAAAAAAGTTAACTTGGCACTTAAGGTCACTGGTTATTTTACTAATGGATAATAAGTTGCATGAGAGATTAGGAACATGAAGAACATTTTGGAAGGTAAGAGGAGAGATAACAATTGACCCTGTTCCAGCTATTACTGACAATGACCCATCTGCAATTTTAATTTTCTTATTGCCCTGCTCAAGGGTTATACGATGAAAATAATTTTGAAGAGCCGGTCATATGATCGGTTTCACCTGAGTCAATAATCCATGAATGAGATGGATTAAATTTTTCACAAGAAAAGGCTATGGTAAGATAGTTACCCTTTTGGGCCAAAGAGCATGAAGAGTTTACTGAGAATTGTGGAGATTGAAATAGCTTGTACATGTGGTTTAGTTGTTCCTTGGTGAAGGGAGATGCCTCTGAGGTGATTTGCTGCCCTTGAGAGTCTTTATTGACGGTTTGTAAGGCTCTATTTTCTCCTCCGTTTCTCCTCTTTTGACTCTGAGGTGGTTTCCCATGGAGTTTCCAGCAAGTCTCTTTGGTATGCTATGGTTTTTTGTAGTGGTCACACCAGGGCTTCTTGTTAGTTTACCAATTCATCCCAAAAGCTTAAGCTGTTAGGAGGTGGGCCAATAATAGTTTTATACTTTAACACTCCCCCTCACGTGTGGGCTAGATAATGGGCAATCGTGTGGGTAAATTAATTGAGAAGCCCAACACGTGAATATTTAAGCTCCGGATATATTAAAGACCCAACACATGATGATAAATGAGGATAAATAGTGCAATTACAGGGGTTTGAACTCAGGACATCCCGCTCTGATACCATGTTAGTTTACCAATCCATCCCAAAAGCTTAAGCTTTTGGGATGGATTGGTAAACTAACACTTCTTCTTCTTTTCTCCATCTGAGTCACTTCCTTTTGACACTAAAGCCGAACTCTCAACCTCAGGACTATTTTTAGGTTCAAAAGTCTTCAGCATTACTTTGCGCTTGGTTTCCTCTCTTCTTACTTCAATGAAAACTTCCCTGATGGAAGGCAGTGGTTTCCTTCCTAGGATTCGGCCTCGTATTCCATCTAATTCCTCGTTAAGACCTGCAAAAACACATATGCTCGATCATTCTCCTCTCTTTTCTTATGGCGAACACTGTCAGTTGGCCAGTCCCATCCATCTTCATAGCAAAGATCCAATTCCTGCCAAAGTGGTACAATCTCATTATAATAAGATGTAACGTCGCGGTCTCCTTGTTTGGACTTCCAAAGCTTCGTTTTCAATTCAAAAATTTGGGATGAATTTTCCACACCCGAATACATGTCACGGACTGCTTCCCAGGCATCTATAGCTGTGGGCAGGAATAGATGTGGCTTTCTAATGGCTGGTTCCATGGAATTGATGAGCCACGCAATCGTCAAGGAGTTCTCTGACCTCCATGTTTTCAGGTTCGGATCCCCTGCCGTTGGTTGCTTCACATCGCCGGTTAAATAGCCGAGTTTTCCTCTGCCGTCAATGGCCAGTTTAATGGACTGAGCCCACTCCAAATAATTATTGCCATTCAGCTTATGGACAGTCAATTGGAGAGAAAAGTTTGAAGATAGGTACTCTACTTTGCTGGCTGATACTGTGGATTCCAATTGGGTCCTTTCGGTGGTAGAGGATGAGTCACCGCTAGAGGAGGTATTCCTTCCAGTCATCGCTATTTTGTGTAATCCATAGGGAGGTTTAGGTTTTGAGCCGTGGCTATGATACTATAACAATTTTGAGAAGAATAATCAATATTGCTTATTTTATTAAAGAGTACGTGAATATATATAGGAAGTAAGGAAAGCTACTGATAAGCCATAAACTAGGAAACTAATTATCCCTTCTAAAAGGTAAGATAAACTAATAAGATAAGCTATAAGATTTGAATATTAATTCAAATCTCTTATTAAAAGATAAAACTCCTAATAATTATCCCTAATAAAATAGAAGATAAAATCTATCATAATCGACACATATTAAGAGAGATTAGAATTGGGTTCTTTTAAGGATTAAAATCCCTTATCCAATCCATCCCTCATACCAAGCAGCCATATGTCCCAAAATCCTTGCAGTTCTCTTCTCAACATATCCCTCCTTCCATTCTCTCTCCTACCAAACAAGCTCTTAAAGCCCATGGCTGATGTTTGTCACCATTGTTACCAAGCCCAAGTGTGTATTTCCAAATAAGTGGTCATTTTATAAAGCAATGCCAAAGAGTAGAACATTCAAATTCGTTTCTACGGTATTGTGAGCCTTATGTTACTGCATTATAGGTTTTACATATAGACTTGTCTACTGAAGGAGAGTTGTGACTCGGGCATGCTTCAAATGTGTAAGTAAATAATCAGGTTCCAAGAGGATTTAAGACTCTAAAATCGTTGTTAAATTTTCTATACAATATCCAATTTATGTCAGAGTCACTTGTTATGCTAGCATTCCTGGACATGCCTGCAGGAATTTCGTTAACAAACTACCTTGTTTCTTTCGCGCAGGTCAAACCATCTCTGGTGGAAAAGTTTTAATTGAGGTTTATTTTTTTGGGGTGCACGTTCATACAGAAACACGCAAGCTTAGTGAGGAGATTTCCTGTCCTATTAAAGCTGGAGACTTTGTGCTTTCCCACACCCAAACTTTACCTGGATTCACTCCACCTGTAAGTTCCACTATACAAGACTAATACTTAATGTGCTTCATACTCTCCAGCTTTCCCACACCCAAACTTTACCTGGATTCACTCCACCTGTAAGTTCCACTATACAAGACTAATACTTAATGTGCTTCATACTAAATCCTTTCGTCGATTTTCGCATCATTTAATCACGTCTATTGTATAGTTGTATTTACTTTCATATTGAAACTTCCTATACAAGTACTACTTGTTTGCAAGTAGAAACATTTAGATACTTTAAGGTTTTATTTAGTAGTGGTTGATCATTTTGTAGCTACAACTTATGAATTTCGATGCCTTTCACTATCCTGCCATTTTAAATATTTTGGCTGCATATTTCTTCTTTCCTAGCGATAATTTAACTTAGCTACTAATCTTTTTGAGCTATTTTTTCTTGTTTATGCTTGAATAGTCCATCTTCAAACTCTTAATGTATTGAATTTATGCCAATGGTTTGTATTACATGCCTTTCTGTCCAAATTATGTGAATCACTTGGGTTTTACAAATTGTGCTATGATTAGTAGAGTAGAAAAGTGAAAGGAATGGAATTATTGGAGGAATTTTAGAGTGAAAAGGAGTATATTGAGTAGTTTGGTAGAGAGGAAATTGGGAAGAAAAGAAGTCAAAAATCTGTGGCCCACCATTTTTGAATCCTTTCAATTTTGAGAAGTTGGAGGAGAATATGTTGCCAAAAAAAAAAAAAAAGTAAAAATAAAAATAAAAAAAAACCAAAGGTATAAAATAACTCGCCCTTAATTACACCTCATTCAATCACTTTATACTAGGGTTGTGTTGCATTTAGCTATGTAACGTATAGACAGCTTTGCTTTATTGATAGGGTCGTGTTTTATTTTCAATTTCGATTTTCACAGCTGAACCTGAAGAAAACTGGATGCGAATTGAACTAAAAATTCTATTGTCTTATTGGGATACTTAAAATTTAGAATCAAATCTAGTTTTTAAGCGGATTTGCATGCATTGCTAAATGCTAATAGAACAAGGATATAATAGCGTATTTCCTCCTTTAGTCCTTTTATCAGCATCACAATGTGACAGTTTCAGTTGATGCATATCTTTCTTCTATAATGCAGTTTGCTCTGGTATATAAAAATAACTCGACCATTTGCTTTTATCTGTAGGGTTCATACACACTTAAAATGACAATGGTGGATGACAAAGATCGATTGTTGTCTTGCATCAAATTCGATTTCAAAATCCACTTTGGAACTTCGGTCTCTGATAATTAAGTGCCTAAGAACCAAACTCCACGTACTGTTTCCAAGTAGCGTGCCACTTGGTGAGGAGAATTGGTTTCTAGTGTTTAGTGGTGCATCATGTGGCCAACTGTTAAACAAGTTGAGATGTTAATAAATAAATAGATATAGGCTCATGACAAGCGAGCCAAAAGGATATCTGAATGGTACTTGTTGCTTTTTTGTTTCTTCGCCAGTTTTTTCTGTCATGTTTGTTGCCTTTGGTTTGTATTGATGCCGTACTGTGCTTTGCAGATTGCACACCGGTGCAGCATTAGTAGTTTGTACTTTGTAAACTAGAAATAGTGATTTCAAGATAGACTCCTATGGAGCAATTATTCTGTAGACTAATTCTTATTCATTGTTTAACCGTTTCAAACAATCCCAAATTCACCATACAACTGCAGGATAACCCCAAGGCTTTGCAGGGTTTCTTCTACAAAATGGGGCCCTCCCTCACCAGGCCTGCAGGGTTCATAAAACTCCTCTTACTGCAGGACGCGTACCTAGCATCAATGAGTTGGCGCAACAACAATTAGGTTTGTTACTCGGTAGCCTTGATTAGAGTTCTGTTTGCCTAATGGATTGTAGGGTGTCAAGACTCATGGGTTGTTTGAGTGAAATTGATTCCATCATTCGAGTATAATTGAGTCCGTTTAGTTCGCTGATTCGAGTTTTTAATTCGAATTGAGATGTCTTTATGTGAGAGCTTTTTACTGTAATAAAAAAGTTAAATGTGATTGTTTTTAAAAGTTTTTTACTGTAGCAAAACTCGAATCTCAAATTTTAAACTCGAATCGGTAAAATGAACGGGATAATCAGGTTCTTTCTGTTTTATAGGTTTGTTACGATGGGATGAGGATAGGATTGCACCAAAATGTTTTTAAATGGTAAAAACAAAAAAAATCTTCAATTCACAATATTACTCTTTTTGCACCACAGCTCCGTCTTAAATGACAAAGGTCGTGAAGCTAATGCCAACTCTACCCCTACTAAAACTGGAGAGAGCATCTTAAATGACAAGTTTTAAGACAAAAGTGATGAAACTAATGCCGTGAAAATTTGTGTATTAAATAAAATTTTATGATATAAAAGTATATCATTTCAAAATGTTTAGTACAATAAACACTTCAAAATGTATTGTATACTATTTCTATAAAAGCAAAAATGCAGGTTATAAAATGATTAATAACCCTAAATAAAATCAAAGGATTAATACTTCATAATAGTCCGCAAGATCAGGAGTAGCATAAGTTGTTACAATGAAATATATCAAGTACCAAGTATTAAACAAAATAACCAAATCATAGGCTTAAAGAATTGGATCTCTCTTCACAAGTTGTGTGTAAAACATAGTAAATGTCCAAAAGATGAGAAATAGCGATAATGCAACTCAAGCGGTCCATATGGCATTCTGCTAACATCCGAATCTGAGAAGAGATCCTAAGTCTAATTTAACCAGAGCATCATGCTATTGTCAGTAAGATATCCTAACTAATAATAACATGAGTTTCAACAGCTAACTTGAGATGCCTTTGGCTCATGAGGCGTCTTCTCTTCGTGATGGATCGAATAAGCAGTCGTCGGTCTTGACCCATCTTGGGATTCTTTGAGGTTGCCATCTTTTTCAAGAGATGCTTTCTCATTATGCACTGGTTCTCGTGCTTCTGTCTCCGCAGGCTGCTTTTCAGCGCCTTCCTTGCCGTCATCTAGATCTTGTGTCGGCAGTGAGACACTCTCAATCTTTTCCTCTGAATTTGAAATTGCTTTCTCATCAGCTCTCTCATATTCCAGTTCCAATGGAGCTCCAGCTTCTTTTTGCTGTTCAATTTCCTCCTTATTAGCCACCGATTCCGCTGTTAAGTTATTAGCAACCTGTTCATCCTTTCCATCAGTAGTCTTATTATCAATTATTTGATCCTCAGCTATCTCATCTCCTTTAACATCTTTTCCCTCAGATTTTGGATCTGTTTCAGTGTTCTTGTCATCGGACACTGCAGTAACAGCATCTTCAAAAGACCCCTCTCCTTTGCTAACATCCTTTGCATCTTCGTCTTTCATTTCCACGTCCCCACTAGCCTTGTTTTCTTCCTTGACATCATCTTTTTCTTTAACAGCCTCATCCTCACCATCAGCATCATCTTCAACTTTTCCCGAGCTTGATTTATTTTGCCTTTTCCTGGGAGACTCACTTTCTGGTGACTCCGTTGCTTTTGATTTGTCACTCAGTCTTCTAGAACGCCTTGGAGTTTCACCTGTTGCAGAGGTTACAACATTTTTCACTTGATAAAGACCTTTTCTCATTTCAAAAGAGTACACACACATAAGAGTAGAAAAGAGACAAGCCTGTGCTCCAATCAAATTCAGAACTCGAGGGGCCTCCAGGATGAGATTTGAGATACAGATCCAGCTGTCTCTTGCTCTTGAACTCCTCCCCTGTAGGAGAAATAAATACTATCGCATTTCTCTTGGGTGTGCCACTCTTTTTCGGCAAGATCTGAAGCACAAGAAAAACAAAAATTACAAAGTCGAACAACTACTAAGAAATAACACAACATTTTATTGCTAAAATAACAATTAACAATGAAACATACGAAATCCGTCAGGTATAAGTGAGCTTTCATTTCTGTTTCAACAACCTTTCACTATAATCTCCCTCTTCTTTCTTTTTCCTTATTTTTCATTCTTTCAGAGAGCATTTACTACATTAGCCATCATTTCACTTCACTCTAGGAATTCTGTCATAATATATCAGATACTCGCATAGAAAGAAATATTTTACAAATGCAAACACTATTGTGCTACTTGAAGAAATTTGCCAGGACGCAAGGAGAAGTGGAGTGCATACAACATGCAAGTTACAATATCCGAGCAAATTTAAAGAAACTGCCTGCAAATGGCACCGCAATATTTACTGTGAACTCCCACTTTTTCAGTTGGAAAGTAAGAAGGAAATAACTTCATTCAGTCAAAAGTCAATAAGCATTAGGTCCAAGTCAAGTTTACATTAGCAAAAGCAAGAAACCAAAAGAATTAGCTGACCAGACACAATGAAGCCACAATCAGATATCATGAACCAGTTGATGCATTATGCATAAGCACGAGTCCTTTTTTTCTTCTTATTGTTTTTGCCATTGACAGTTCCCTAATTTTTTATTCACCTGAAATCTGTGCTCCTAACAGATAATCCAGTATTGGATTTGCATTATCATTATGAAATTTAGAATTTTTGTTGTTGCAACCTCTAACTACAAATGTTGCATTACAATAACTCTAATTGGTCAACCAACAAAATATGAAGCCTTTATGACAGGTGTTCTGGCCTTAGAAAAGATCCAGTTAGTGCTCACCATCTTTATGTCGTCGTTGTTTTTTTTTTTAATTAATTAATTAATTTTGAACAAAGAGCACCAAAATGGATTATTATCAACATTTCGGGTCATGCGTCAAAGAAAAACCTTGCACCAAGCTGGAATTGTTTTTTTTTTTTTTTTAACATAGAATAATTATCTTACAAATAATATCGACGACGAAACTAAACAAAGAGTGTACTAAGAAGACAGAAAGAAATGGCACTAAAGAACAGAAAATGAGAACACAAATGTTTTTCTCAATACGTAGAACAAGAAAGTGAAAATTAAAATAAATAAATAAATAAAAAAGAAAGAAAGATAATTCCCTCTTTCAAGTTGCATGGCAAATCATATATATGGGTCAAAGTCCCTAAAAACAAATAAAGAAGCCATGAGGGCAAAATAGATTGAGGTTAAATGTATTCTTATGTTTCCTAGTTCCTACAAATAAATATTGGTATTGATGAAGTTAGGAAGTCTGTGTACTACATTGCAGAATACAGAAAATTAGAAGCCTTCGAACAAGTTGCAAAAGGTCAACAATTATGCAAGTTGACTTGCAGTATTTATGAATTACCAATTAAACGAAACAGATAAAAGGAATAATGGTACATTTCTTAAGCCAATATATATTCAAAACCACCAAAAATGAAACATAAACAATAAAGTTTTGAGACTAATTACCTATTGACGCAATAAATCATAATTTCTTCCACCGTAATTTTAAAATAAATCACACTCGCCGTGCTACTACGTTTACGTATAGAATATTAACATTACGTCATTACAAGAGGAAAAAGAAACGATCAATAGGACAATCGTAATTACTATGTAAGATTCATAATAAATAAAAGAAAGTACATTAATTTAGGGCCCGTTTAGTTTGTTTATTCGAGTTTTTAATTTGAGTTAAAGATGTGACTTTATGTGAGTGCTTTTTACTGTAGTAAAAACAAAATTAAATGTGACTGTTTCTGAGAATTTTTTACTGTAACAAAACTTAAATTCTAAACTGCGAAATAAACGGGACCTTAACTCAATGGCAATAGCGAATCATAAAAAGCCTATTTCGAGAACAATTAATTCGAATTAAATCTTAACACAAAAGTAATAATCCACCTCCTAATCCGAGTGCAAATACATAAATCATCAATCACACCGCGTAATTCATAACAAAAACTTCAAAAACAGAACGAATTCATTACATCAAGAACCTAACAAATTCCACAAAATCCGCGAACAGCGACTAAAGAAAGCATAAAAAACTAAAATTTAACACTATAAATTAACGAACAAGGAAAAAGGAAAAGCAATTAAGGCTAATTAATCGAAAACGGGAAATCAAAGAGTGGGAGTAAGAGAAAGCGAACCGTCTTCTTCCAGCCCTCAGGAGCTGAGAGCTCGGCCGGAGCTTTGCCGTCGTCTCTGTTCTCCGCCGATGACGCCATTTTTTTCGAGCTCTTCAGTCTTCGAATTCCCGCTCTCTCTCTCTCCAGGAAAATTACAAAAGCACGAAAGAGGACAATTGCACGCGAAAATTAGAGAGAAATTGGGAGATTTATGCGTCTTCTATATACTGCGGGTATTCTCGGGAAATGAAAGGATGCGTGGACGGACTCTACTGGCGGACACCACGTGACAGATGTTAACTGGATTTGAACGTTGGGATTGAGTCCGGGAATTAACTTTAAAAACCGTTTTGGATAAGGTGTTGGAATCCGCCTGCACGTGCTTTTGGTTATTATATGAGAATCTTCTATTAGATTTTTAATGCATATAAAATCCATTATTGGTTTGGTAAACACGGGATATTTTTGAAAAATTCTACCTGAGTAACTCTCTCTCTCTTTTTTTTGGGTTGAAAAAAACTAGAAATACCACTTAAACCGATAAAACATATTATTTAGAGATAAAATTATTTTATAGTAAAATATCTCGTTGACACTATGTTTTTTTAATAGTAGTATTAAGACGGTACATTTACACATTTAGAGAAATATTCTTTTAGTATTCTGATATTAATTTTTAAGATATAAAATGTCAATTTTACTACTCTTACTAATTAACAGTAAACCAATAATTTTAAAAAAAAAATTAAAAATACTTTAAAACATTTTAAAATATTTTTAGAAAATATTTTTAAAGTCATTAGCTTCTATATAATTCATAATTAATAAAAAAGGCAGTTTGGGCATTGTATGGCCTAAAAATCAATTTTGGGATACTAAAAAACATTTATTTAAAAGTAAAGGAACATTTTTAATAGTATAACAGAGAGTACTAAAATGATTTTGGGGTTGTTCTCTTGTCTAAAAAACTCAAAAAAAAAAAATTCGAGTTCCAACTTTATTCAAGTTCATGTTCTTTTAAGTTTTAACTTTATTATTCAACTTCACTCAACTTTATTCAAGTTACAACTTCAACTCAAGTTATAACTCAAATTTAACTCAAAAACTACACTCAAGTTACACTCCAAAAGAACATGTCCTTTATCTCTATTATTTATGTTATTTCACTAAAAATAAACAATTATAATTTAATTAATAAAGAAAAAAATCATAATAATACCTAATTATTTAAAATTATGTAAATAATAGGTATGTAAAAAACTATGACAAAAATATATATATATATATATATTTTTTTTTTTGACATGATAGGATCCAATTACTATAATTTAGGAGAGATGAGGGTGGGCAAAATAATAGACTTAAAGCCGTATACTCCCGTAAACAAAAATTGTAGTAAATACGATTTTCAAGAAACTAAATTAAGTAGACGGTAAATTTAAAAATATTTGAAGTTAATGGAAGTAAAAAGATTTTTTTTATGTAAATTTTTAATTTATGACCAGTAAAATATTTTTTACCACCTAAATTTTTAATTTACTACTTTTCATTTTAAATAGTTTAAAAATATATTAATTACTTCAATTATTTAGTGTAAATATTCTATTTACTTTATTCTCCCTATTGTAAATGATCTTTTTTCTTTGTAAAAATTACAAATGATATTGTGCTATGACAATTTAATTAACAAATTAATTAAAACAATCCCCTCACAAGAATAAAAAAACAATTGAAACAAACTAAAAAAGAGGTCAATGAGAATCAGAATTTAGCATTTTCAAAATTTTAAAACGATGAAAGAGAACGAATCATGTGTTGTTCTTTGGAGTTCTCGGAGACGCGTCTTCATGAAGGAATAGTATACTCTCATGTTTGAGTTTTTTAAACAACCAATGTATTATTGCAAACTACATCCTCATCCTGCAAATGTAATGTTTAAGTTTCAATTTTATCCTTGGAACATTTTTTTAAGTATATAATAAAACAAATATGATCATTGTACCCTTTGCAAAAAGAGTTTTCTTTTAGTTAATTTGTAATTATCACAATTTTGTACCCCTCATATTTATTAATTTACTGTTTGCTGTCTTTCTTGTTGTGCTGGGATCTATCTATTCTTGTTGATTTTGTTTCGCATATATTTTATTAGTAATCTTTCATAACTAAAGATGCAAAAATAAATAAATAAATAAATAAATCTAAACAACGACAAATAAATAATAAGATAATATTATATACGAAAGAGAAAATAAAAAGGACAATTGAACTTGGAATTATTAATTTCTAAGGTTCTTTGTGTTTCACTTTCAAAGCTTTAAGAATTGTTTTGAAGAAATATCGGTTAGAGTTTTGCAAGGGCTTTTGAGAGGAAGTTAAGTATAGAGAAGATGATATTAAGATAGGGAAAAGGTGTTTAAGCATAATAATAATAATAATAATAGTAATAATAATAATAATAATA